GCTGTCCCCTCCTGTCAGGAGTTGTGCAGAGCCACAAGGTCCCTCCTGAGCCTCCTTTGCTCCAGGCTGAGCTCTCTCAGCTCCCTCAACCACTCCAGATCCTTCTCCAGCTCCATTCGCTTCCCTGGACATCCTCCAGCACCTTGATGTCCTTCTCGCCATGAGAGACCCAAAATCAAATCACACATTTCTAATTCCCCTGCAATAAATCTGATTATTAGATTGCTGTGTCTGTTAAATCCTTGGCTAGGGATGATGTTATTTTTCTTCCCCTGTGAAGCTGCACCATATCAGTGCCACAGAAGAGTCCCAGGTCCCTGCTCTCTCCCTCTTCCTCAGTGCTCCTGGCACAGGCCCTGAGGGATTTTCCAGAAGTCAATGAGTTTTAAACCTTGCTCTGGCATTGCAAAGTGGTCACATACTGTGGCAAAGACCAGCAGAGCTGCTTGTCTGGCATCTGGCCTGTCAGCCACAGGAGATGCCTCAAAGTGTTCCATGTTTAAAAGTGTTTATAAATGTGATTTTGCCGCTGCCAGGGCCGTGAGGGTGATCCGTGTCCATGGCTGGTGCTTCAGTGCAGGAGTTTGTGAAGGGGATAATCACCTGTCCTCACACTGAGAACAACCTGTGGTAGCAGACAAAGGTTCAGAGATAGACCCAAATCTATACAATACTATTTAATCTTCTTAGGGGCTGTGGGTATTAAACTGGATTGGGAATTCCTCCACTAACATGTCCTTCACACCTGACCCGCTCTTCTTTTGGGACTCTGCCAGCAGAGGAGACATCCTGAAAATGGGATCATTTTCACCTGCCTCTCTCTGCAACAGCATCTCCCATCTGACTGTTAAGTACCAAAGAAGCTTCCAGCACTACACCCAGCCTCTGGAACTCCCCTTCCTCCTGGACAGGCCTTTGGAAGGTAGGCTGGGGAGCTTTGTGTGATTGCTTGGGTTTCGTGTTACTGAGACAGGATGTCAGAAAAGGAGTTTATCAGGAATTGACCTAAACTTAGAAGACTAGAGAAACAATTCTGAATTCTTCTGGTCAGGAGTTGTGAAAGGCTGCAGAGCTCTTAGAACTGATCCTGGTTTTGGATTTCTTTCTGTTTGCAAAACATCTTTTAAGCAGCTTGTTTTGGAGATTTTTAAATAGGAGTGTGTGCATGACTGTGTTCTCTCTCTGCCTTTTAACTCTCCTGTCTTTGTTAGGGAAAGTTATTTTCTCTTAACATGCAATTTGTTATACCTCTTGTGCTGTTCTGCCACATGTATGTTTATTTTCTTTTTATGTTTGAAAAGCAAAGCTTGTATTATCTATTTATTTAGGTATTCCCATAACCCTCTCTTACAGTTGCCTTAGTGATTCTCCCAGGTATTTAAATTAACATTGCCTGTTTTGCAAGGAATTTAGGCTGTTAACTTCCCTGGGTGTTATGCAAGAGGGTGACTGTGTGATAACTTGCATGAAGAGCTTATCTGAGAATGGTTTAGAAAACTATGATTCACAGCTAAAGAATAATGTAGCATGCCCACTCTGGGGAAAAAAATAATCCATGAAGAGTGTCATTCTAAGGTAAAACATTCAAGCAGTGCTGAAGGGTGAATTCTGTCCAGCCCCAAATCCCTGTTCCTGTGCTGTCACAGCTGCAAGCACTGTCACTCTGACATTTACAATTTCTCCCCCTTTCTAAATGCTGTTCACATAATTATGCAAGATATGCTAATTACTCCCTAATAAAAGGTATGATTACAATTCCACTTTGCCAGTTCTGATTTCAGAAAGCCCTGAAAAGATGTAGTCATAGAAACAAATGGCTGCTCAGCACCCCTAGTTTTACTAGAACCACGTTCTCCTCACCCTCTGCTCAAACTGAAAGAAAAACCTCACCCTTGGATGGTTTCCTGGAGAGTGAAAGGCTGGAAAGCCATGGAGCAGCATCACATCTAAACCAGTTTCCATCCCCCTGAGTTTATTTTGGTGAATAACTGGTTTAGGAGGGACGTTTGAACAGCTTGGTCTTGTCTTCAGAGCATCATTTTTAGCAATTTAAATTTGGTTCCTTGACAGAAGCCGTATCCATTCCTCCTGCACAACACTGACCCAATTGATAATATTACAGAATAACAACTGGACTCTGCTCAATGCAGTCCTTAACAGCTCCTGGATATGGGCATTTGGTGGAACCAGAATTCAGCTTGGATTGGACTGCCTCAGCCAACTCCACTCTCTTAAGCCAAACCTTTCATTATTAATCAGCATAGCCTACAGTCATATTAATAAATAGACTGAAATCTGGATCTAGATCTCTCTTTACTCATTTAAATCCATTTCTTTTTATAGAAAAATAGACAAGCAGTCAGTGAAGGGCTGCTGCCCAAATGGTGGAAAGTTGCAGTACTTTGTTTTTCACACCAGATTTTCTTTTGCAGGATTCCCCATTCTGTGCTGTGCAGTTCCATTCCTGATGCTCCAGATCAGCTAGAAATTGTGCTATGCAGTTCCAGTCCTAATGCTCCAGATCAGCAAACTGCTGACCAAGTGAAGTCTTCAGTGGCCTCTGGACACAGCTCTGAGTTTGGAACCTTTAGGAAATGCATTTACCGCGCAGGAGGCGGCTACGGAGGAACCGAATCCTTTTCTTGCTTGCCACAGTGTTGGTCCTTTCCTTCTACCAGCTCCAGTCCAGCCCCTCTGCCCTTCCAGCATCACACAGAGCCCCCCAACCCACGGACCCTGCCCAAGTGACCTCCAGGGACCTCCCCAGCAACAAGACTGCTGTAAGAGGCAATGGCACAGCACCCAAAATAAGGCACTGCATCTATGTGGATCCTGAGCCAGCCGTGCCCGTCACCACGTCAGTGGGCACAACACCACAGCAAGAGAACGCCAGTGAAAGCGCCCCAGATGAAAAACCACCCTATGAGTCCAAAGGAGAATATCCCCAGGACCTGTTCAGTGTGGAAGAACGCAGGCAAGGGTGGGTTGTACTTCACATCTTTGGCATGATGTATGTATTTGTGGCCTTGGCCATAGTATGTGATGAGTATTTTGTTCCTGCTTTGGGAGTGATCACTGAGAAGTTGGAGATCTCTGAAGATGTGGCTGGAGCCACCTTCATGGCAGCAGGTGGATCAGCACCAGAACTCTTTACGTCCCTCATAGGTGTCTTCATCTCACACAGCAATGTCGGCATCGGTACCATTGTGGGCTCAGCAGTGTTTAATATCCTCTTTGTCATTGGCACCTGTGCCCTCTTCTCGAGGCAGATACTCCACCTGACATGGTGGCCCTTATTTAGAGACATCACATTCTACATTGTAGACTTACTGATGCTCATCCTGTTTTTCCTAGACAGTGTCATTGATTGGTGGGAAAGCCTCCTTTTACTGACTGCCTATGCCACATACGTGTTCACCATGAAACATAACGTGTTCCTGGAGCAATGGGTGAAGCAGGAGCTGAAAAAGAAGCTAAATGCTGTGCAGGCAGCATCAGCAGAGCATATGCGGAAGGTTGGTGTCCTTAGAGTTCAGAGGGCAAGTTGGAAATAACTTTTAGTGTAAACCACAAAGAAAAACTGCATCTCCTTCACAAAGCACATATTCGAACCTCAGAATGCAGGTACTGGTCAATAATTATGGTTTTAAAATGGGGAAATCCAAACTAGTGAGATCTCAGAAAGTGGAGGCCATCACTAACAGGGAGCTCTGCCTGTGCGATTACTAAATATCTCTTAGCTGCTTTCAAAGATGTGTGGGGTTTTGCTTACTTTGTTGTTCAGAAGAAGTTTCAGCAAGAACACTTGCACAAACACGTTTTTGGTCTGGGAACAAGGTTGGACAATTGTGGTACACAGGGTAGAAAAGGTTTCTGTCCCAGCCTCTTGCAACTGAGAGATGTTGGAGGAAATTCTCTTTTCTCTCTCTGAAGCCAGTTGCTGGGATGCTGGTGGTATCACTCCTTACCTGATCAGCAGCACAGAAAGGCATCTGGCAGCTTTAGCAATCACTGCTTGCTCTCCTGGGCAGCATTCACAGATTGAAGTGCCCAAACCCAATTCCATGGCAGCAGATTTCAAACTGTCCCCTGGCACTGCATGCTCTGCTAGTCAGATGTGTCCCTGGCCCTCAAGCATGCTTTACCTTCAGATCCTTGCACTCCACATCATTTAAGGAAAGGAAGGAAGCAGATAAGGAAAGTCAGGGTAGCTGAAGTGGTGCAGAATTGAGAAACTCCTTCTCTTTCCTACTCCTGGTTTGTTGTTCAGCCAGTGCTCACAGCTGGGAGTCCTGAAAGCTCCTGGGTTACATTCCAGTGGGATACATGTGCAAGAAACTGCAGTGACACACACACATCACTGTGGACATCACCAAGCATCACAGATTGAATCCAGCCCTGCACTTCAGGTTTGCAGAGAGCTCTCACTAATGCTTAGTAGCATGACAGAGAGCTGCTGAACCTATCCCTTGGGAAAAATTAATCACAGAAATTATAAATGATGGAAAGTAATGCTAATCACTGTAAAAAAAATCTGTCTTTGAACCTTCTCTCTGCTGGAAAATGAGTAAGGATACACATGTTTGGGGATGCAGTCTGGGTCTGTCTGTAGCTGCAGGAATCAGTTGTGAGTCTGCCCTCAGGTGCCTGCATCCTCGCTGGGAGGCTTTAGGTAGAATCCTGTTTTATTCAGAAGCCAATGGGTTTAAGGAGGCTCATGGCTTTGGCTCTTTCAGTAGTATCCATGGACATTTGTGTCAGCTGTGCCACTTCCCCACAGGCAGCAGCCTGGAGGATCATTAGATCTTGAAGCAGCAGAGGTGATCGGTCATTTCTGTTCTTCATTGCTTGCAGACAAGCAGGGCAGTTGTAGATGATGGAACAACGAAGCCACCAGATGTGAGGAAGCTTCAGGTAGGTCTAAGAAACTTTACAGGGATCTGAAGTAATGGTATTTTGAATCTCCCCCCTATGTCAGGTCAGAAATAAAAGTGTCAACTCCTGTGTCAAGAAACCCAGACCAAAGCCTGTATCATATCAGGCTCAATGGCCACAGTTTGCTCAAGGAGACACCTGGCAGAATCCTGTCCTTTAAGGAATTTTTATAAAATTTAAGAGACAGCTCAGGCTTCCCAGGTGGATTTAACTAGAAGAGTGCTGCTCATTCCCTGCTATAAAACAGTCATATAGAAATTCAGACAGTGACTCTTCTTACCTGGTTTCATGGCCAAATTTCTTCCTGAGCTGTCATAGCAGTGGCTGGTGGGGTCTGTCCTTTCCCATAGCAAACACTGAGCACTGATTCCTCTGCTGCTGTTGAATTGCTGCCTCATGGCCTGGAGAGGCCTTGTCTGGTGTAGAGGACAAAGAAGCTGGAACTGAGTGGTTTTGTGCCTTCCCACAGCCTGGGCCAGCCCTGCAGCGGGGCAGCAGCTCGGCCTCCCTGCACAACTCTCAGATGCGCGGCACCATCGTCCAGCTCATGATCCACACCCTGGACCCCCTGGCAGAAGGTGAGTGCATGCTGCACACCACAGGGCCTTGGCTTCACAGCCCTGAGTGGTTTCACTGGGAATACAATCAGTATTTTGGGTTCAGTAACTCACCCTTGGGGTGCAGCTGAGTATCACAGATGGTGTCGGGTGCAGGGAGCTCTGTGACAGTGGGATGTGCCCCTTCCAATCGTGTGGCTGGCAAGGACAAACACCTCATGTTTTGATCCTGCCATGTCTACTTTTCCTGTGCCCAACTGGTTACTGCTGTGGTGGCAGCTGCTGCTGGGGTCCCTGGAAGTGGTGACATCCTCTGTCTCTGCTGTCTCTCTGACTGCAGTGCAGTTAATGTGAGTTACAGGCTCCCCCTGTCCCATAGCACATTCCATCTTCCTCTTCTTAGCTCAGACCTCATCCCAGCCCTGAAAGAGCAGCACAAAAAGAGGATAAAACCCTTGAGGAATTCTCTTTTTGACAGTGGTTAAAATCCCAGCTGGGATTCTAATCCTGATGGTGAGGCCAATTCTGTGTGATTCAGGCTGACACCTCTGGAAGCTCACCAATCATCACTGCCATGGCACGGTGTGCCCACAGCCCTGTGCAGGCAATGGGCAGCTCCCCAGGGCCAGGGAATGACCAGCTCAGATCCAAGACCTCTTTTAAACTGCCCAGGAAGCCTTATCTCCAGACAGACCAGGGTGTTTGTGCACAGCCTTTTAATGTGTTACTTTATATTAACTTTAATCCAATCACACTGTGGATGTTTATTTTCAAAGAAGGAGTGAAGCACATTAATAAAAAACATCTTTAAGATTTTCTTTCCTAGCCCAGAACATGCCCCACCCCTCCACTGCCCTACTTGTTCTAAAGAGATTATCTGCTGCTCATTCAAAGAGAGATTGAAGCTAAGCAGATCAACACCTCTCGTGTCCCTCGCAGAGGTTACAAAGAGGACTCTCCAGATCAGAATCCCAGCTGCACAAACTGATCAAGGGAACAAGGAGGCTGGAGGAGGACAGCAAGGCAGATCAGTGTCTGCTTTGACAGATTCCAGTGAAGGCACCCAATGTGTTATCAGCAGTAGCCTAACAAGAGCCAGACTCATCAGGGTTTGTTCCTTGCCTGTTGTGCCTCCAAAAGGTTCTATCAACAGCACCAGCATAGACCCAAAACCTTCCAAGAGGATGTGCCCATCAGAAAGTGCCAGAATTGAAGGGCTGCTGCCACTCAGAGACCTTCCAGCACCTTCTCATCCTTCCCACACCTCTAAATATCTCTGTGCAGCATCTGCCCACCCAAGGCCACCACGAATTTGGCTTTCTGATCCAGGCTGGTGCCCTGGTGAAACTCTGGGACCCCTCAGCAGGAGAGCTCTGAGGGGCTGAGGTTGCAGCCAAGGCCAAGGAGAGCCCCAGCCAGTTCAGCCCAGAACAGGGAGCTTTCCCTTGGCCTTGCTGAAGAGGCTACTGCTCCCAGGCCTTGTGAATATGGAACAAACAGGACCTGGGGACCAGTTTGGATTTTCTCTCAAAGAGAACTTGCCTACTCATTTCATAGAATCACTGCATCATTTAGTTGAAAAAAAACCTTTAAGATCATCAAGTCCGACTGTTCCCCCAGCACTGCCAAGGCCACGTGTCCCCCAGTGCCCCATCCACACATCCTTTAAACCCCTCCGGGCATGGTGACTCCCTGTGCCAGGCTTGAGGACCCTTCGGGTGCAGGAATTTTTCCCGATATCCAGCCTGCGCCGGCGGCCCGGCAGGATGAGTTCTGTGTGTGCAGCAGCCACTAGATGGGAGTGTGACCGTGTGTATTTGTGCCTGATACTAGATGGGAGTGTGACCGTGTGTATCTGGGCCTGATTCTGCAGGGACCGCGCGGGGATGGGCTGCAACAGCCCCTCCTGAAGGGTTTTATAAACCAGAGCCTCTACTTTAATAACGCCACTGAGTTAATGGCAAAACCTCTGCCCCAGTTACGTGCCTGCTCCACTCAAGGCTGTGAGAAACACCACCTTACAAAATATAACAATAAAATTACTGATATTACAACAGCTCAGCACTCAAAAATCAAGGAGCCAATGTGTCAAATCCTGTGTGTCTTGTAGGAGATACTCCTTAATCCAATAACTTCCTACCTAAAGGAAAGAGAGTTTGGAGAAAAGAAATTTATGCATAGACTGAGAAAACTAAGTGCCTTGAGGAGCTTGGCCAAAGAGATAGAATGACATCCCAAGGAAGGATCTGGAAAGGGATTTGAACCTGCAAGGCTTATGAGGGCTTGTGTTCTGATATGTCAATAGCTCCTAGTCCTGTGTTAACAGCCCTGCAGCCCTGTGGGACCCTGGGGACAGCTGTGCCTGCTTCCCATGGATCTCCAACACTGTCCCTCCCTTTGCTGCGTGTGCAGCTCTCTCTGTACCAGGCACATTTCTGTAATTAGGCTGCCACATAAAAGATGATCCCAAAGCAATATATCTTTCCTCAAGGGCTCTTGTTCCTTCTTGCCAAGGCCTGTGGCATCAGCACTTACAGGCTGTGGGAATGAACACTCAACAGAAGGAAAAGGTTGCCAACAGTTGCTCAGCAGTTCCTCACTGAACCTGCTGCAATCAGGATTCTGTAGGGTTTCCTTCTTTCAAGGGTTTCCTTGCTTTTTATTTGGGCAGCACAGAACAGGTTTCAGGGAAGCAAGGCCCAAAACATAGAAAAGCTGCCAGCACTGGGCCTCCAATCCCAAACATCAGGGGCAGAGGTCTTGGAAATGCAGGAGTATGAAACACAAAGCTGCAACACCCCTTGTGTGAAACAGAATTTCTCTTTTGAAGAGTGGATTGAGTTCAGAATGTGGAGTTATTTCTTTTCGTAGTAGGAAGATATCATTATTTAAGTCTTTGTCTCAGAGAGACTACGCGTTTACTTTGGAAGTTCTAATATTTAGATGGCATCCTGAATTATATTTTGATAGAACTTTTTACCTTCAATGTGACTTTTTTTTAAATTAGGAATTTCTAGCAAGTTTGTTCTCTTGTCCTTTTCCCCAGTGCCTGTGAAAACGAGTAGAAGAAGAGCGTGAGATCTTTTCCAGATCATCCCATTAGAGACCAGAGGGAACTGTTGGGGAAGTAAAGGCAGTGAGGATTTTGGAAATGCTCAGGAGCCCTCTCATTTCTGAACCTCTAGCCTTACCACCAGACTCTTTAAACTCTAGTCACACAGGGAACAAAGCAGAAGCCTACATTTCTTTTTGAATGAAGCAGAAGGCTCCAGCAGAGAGGTTGTCAGAGCTGCGTGCCCTCACTATGCCCCAGTTAACAGGGTAATGATTTTGAAAATTAGACCAGAGCAGTGGGCACTGTTGCAGGCTGGAGAAGGCTGAAGGCAGCTACAGCTTCTCCTTGCTTCATTAGCATTCCAGATCCAGAGGGCAAAAAGGAATCACAAGACTTTTTTTATACTTCCACTTTTATATAGCAGAATCTCCAAATCCTTCAGGCTCATGCCAAACTGTAAAGAAAAAATCCTCCCTGCTGATTGTGTTGCCAGTCCTATTAGAGTGAATATTAGAGCCAAAGAGTGAATTAAATGTGAGAGCCAAATTCAAGATAGAAGCTCAGCTGCTACCTGAAGTCCATCCTGGATGCTGTCAGTTCAGAGGACAAGACTTCTCCTGGAGAGCATCTCAGGGCCACTGGACACAGACATGTCCTGTGTGATGGGCTCTGAGCCCTGGGGACAGAGCTGCCAGCAGTGAATGGCCCAGGGCACTGAGGGACACTGCCCTGCACAGCCCACAGACATCCTTCCTCCCCGTGCTGACCTGCAGATCTGGCCAGCTTAGAGCCAGCTCTGCCTCCAGTCTCAGTCCCTCCTGCAGGAATTGTGTGCCAGAGGAATTACCACCCTTTTAAAGGAGGCTGATCTCATGAGAACTGGCCAGTGGCCTGGGCCTAATCTGTTTATCCTGACAGAGATGCTCCCGGGCTCCTCCCAGCCTGGGGCCTGGCTGAGGGCAGCGAGCCAGGAGCTGGAATTTCCATAATCTCAGGCTGACCCTGCTGACCCTGCTGACAGGAGCTTCTGCAGCAGCTTCAGGGAAAAGCCAAACACAAGGATGCATTGCCCAGTGCTTAGAGGAGACTGGGAGCAAAAGGTCACCCCTGCACTGAGGGATGTGCTTGTGCACGAGCACAGGGGGAAGGAAGCCAACATTTCACATCCCCTCCAGTGACCTTCAGTACTGACAAGGAGCATGGAAGAGTCAGGCTCTTGAGTTCCAGCCAGCCTTTCCAAGGAGAAGAAATGATCATTTGATTAGAAATTCCTACCTGCAAGGGTGGTGAGGTCCCAGAACAGGGTGCCCAGAGAAGCTGTGACTGCCCCTGGATCCCTGGAAGTGTCCAAGGCCAGGATGGATGGGGCTTGGAGCAGCCTGGGATGGTGGAAGTTGTCCCAGCTCATGGCAGGGGGGTGGGATTGGCCTTTAAGGTCCCTTCCAACCCAAACCATTCTGGTACTCCATGATGGTTTCATCCTAGTCCAACCATTCCAGTGCTCAGTGGAAATCCCAGCTGGTGAAAGATGTTTCTGTCAGACAGCAGCAGGAATCTCACCAGTGTAGGACTTGTCCCCTGAGGTCTTCCTGTCTGGGCTGGGCCCAGTTATTGGACATACAGCAGAATTTACTGATTTTCACAAGGTTCAGCTCAGAACAATAGCTCTGCCCACATGGCTGGACATGCTATTTCTATTATCTCAGTGTCACAGTGATTAATAAAATGGCAGGGCCCCACCCTTGAGGCAATGTGACAACTGCACCTTCTGGGTGCATAGTCAACAACACAGTAGATTAAATCAGTGTGATAAAGCTCTCAGAGAAAATTATTTTACAGCCCTGCACACAAGCCAAACACAGCATTGGCCAATTCTTGTGGCTACTGCCCATGTGCAAACCCAGTGACCCTCAGTCATTGGGTGTGCAGCTCAACAGAGGACAGAGATTAGAGCAAAATGGGGCTTTTCTTTGAGCCCATTCTTGTTCACTTTCACTGAGAGCAGTAAGACATTTGAGTAAAAAACAACTACAGAGACACAGTTCCACAGTTCACTGGAAATCAATAAAAAAGCAGCTCAGCTGAGTAAGGCAGAGCTTGGTTCACAGTGGAAGAATCTCTCAGCAGTCCCAGAAATAGAGCACCAGACCTGTGCTGGTGAAGAACATCTCTCAAACAGCCTGAACCATGCTGAACCTGGATACCAGGAATTTAGAACAGCTCCAGCAGGAGGCACTTGTGTATACTTAGAAAAATCAATCATTTTCCAGGGAACGGGAACATAAAAGGTGTTTATTTTCCATTCCCTTCAGGTGCCCAGGCTGTAAGCAGCACCCTAAAGCCTCTTCAACAGCCACATGGCAGGAGGAAGGTGTGATTTTTAGTTTGCTCATAATCTAGCCTAGGAAAAAAATCAATAGTCCATTGTGAACATGATGATATTGCACTGAAACTCCCCATCTGTTCTTTCTGCATTTTATTCCTATAAAGTACAGATATCCTTTGTATTACTGACCTGAAAAGGATTTCTCATTCCTCTTGATGCCTTGAGAGGCTGGCTAGAACAGAGGCTAGACAGTGTTACAGGAATAAAGTAGGGGTTTATTAAAAGGCCTTCACAGGATACACCTTGGGCAGTACAAGAGCCTGGCCATGGCTACACCCGAGATGGACAGCAGGTCACACATTTCCACACTTTCATAAGTTTTGGTCCATTTCCATACTGGAGTTAATTATCCAATTGCAGCTCCAGGTTATGCAGCCCCATCCTCCCAGTTTGCTCTCCTCAGTTTGCTGTTTGCACTTTTTGGGCCTGAAGCTGCAATGGTGTCCTTGGTTCTGGGGCTGGAAAAGGAGTTATGTCTGAACTGTAAAGAGAACTTGATAACACTGCATATGAAGTTCAGAGTTATGTACTAATGCAGTACAGAATCTGGAAAATATAAAAGCTAAAACTTTAAGCATCACTCTAGATTCTCCTTAAATAGTTCTGTCAAATTGCTGGTGTAATTGCTGTAGCACCAAGCAGTTAAATCCAACAGCTATGAGCACCAGCAGCAGCCAAGCCTGAGGTCTCAGCTAGAACAACCCCTGGGGCAGCACCTGCAGGGGGAAGGGGGCAAGAGCTCGTGGGAGTTGGGGGAGGCAGGGCCAGGGGGGCTTTGCAGTGACAGCCCCTGATGATCGTGTCCTTCTCACCCACAGCAAAATTTAAAGACAGGGTTGACACCCTGAGCAAACTGGCCAAGGCCAAGGATGAGACCCTGGAAGGACAAGGCTCCCAGCCAGGTGAGTGCAGGAAGAGCCAGCACTGTTTGCCTTGTTTTGCACTGCAAGCCCTCACCCCTTCCCAGCACACAAAGTCCAAGGGCAGGCAAGGAAACTGTGGGCTGTAATACAGATTTTGTGCTGTTTCTGGGCACAGATGGCTGCTGTAACGATGCAGCAGGAATCGATTGATGCCCGAGGGCAGGAGCAGCCATCCCCAGGGGAGCTGTTAGTGAGGCAGGGCAGGGAGAGCTGCAAGGGTGGACTGCAAATGGCCATGGAACAGTGCAGGAGGGAGAGCAGGGCACTGCAGACACTTGGGTGCTGCTGCTCTCTGGCAGACCCTGCAAATGAGGTGTTTGTTGAAACCAAGTACCTTCACATGTTTGCAGAAGGGTACAGAAGGTTCCTCCAGAGGGAATAATCTACACTTTGTCTGTATCAATTCCAAGGACCTGTGATGCTGTTAAAGGACCTCCCTTTAACAGCATCACAGAATCATACAGTGCTTTGGGTTGGAAAGAACCTTAGAGACCATCCCATCCCAACCCCTGCCAAGGGACACCTTCCACCATCCCAGGCTGCTCCAAGCTCCATCCAACCTGGCCTTGGGCACTTCCAGGGATGGAGCAGCCACAGCTTCTCTGGGAACCTGTGCTGGGGCCTCACCACCCTCACAGGGAAGCATTTCTAATCTAACATTTAACCTGCCCTCTGTCAGTCACTCCTGACACAAAGGCTGCCGTGGAGCCAGAGCTGACCTGTGCTACAACACAGATTTGTGCTGCCAGCAAGGCTGAAGATTTTGAACAAACTTTGGAAAGTACCAGCTCCACACAACCCAGGCACCTGAGCACCTCATGGAGGTGAATGAGCTCAAAGTTGAGAAAAACACTGTTTAAAACCCAAGTAAATTCTTGGTGTGTGCTATAAATACCACACTGACTTCACTCTCTCATCCCTGCTCCGTGTTATCCGTATTTCTGCTGTTCCCACAGAGGTTTGTGTGTTCCTCTTGGCTATGCAGGAACAGCAGGACATTGCAGTTATTTCCTTGCACGTGTCAGCACTTTCCTATTTGCTTTTGAATACCCACCAAAAGATCAGGGATTAAAGTCTGGCAGCACATCCTGGTCATTTCTCAGAAGCCTTGAAGAGTATCAGGTCCCTGGAGAATGCTGTGCTCTACAGAGGGAGGGGGGAGCTGGGGGGAAGGAAACCTGAGGAGTAAAGCTTTACATCCTTTCTGGGTTTTAAGGATGGTTTTAATACAAACTTCAGAATCCAGAAAGAAACCAAGAAATGCCCATCAGCTGTAGATGAGGTAATTAAAATTTCCTTGCTTCTTACAGCAGTTCTGCATGAAGGTTAGAGGAGGACCAAGGTCTCACTCTATTCCAGTTGGGCCAAATCCTGCCCAGATTTACCAAACACAATCACAGCAGTCAGGGAGGACACACAACAAACCAAAGCAGTCTGAGGGTATTTAACCTGAAATGCCACCACTGTGGGAGGGAGCTGGGACCCTCTGCTGGTCACAGGGAAGGTGATCCCTGATACGGTGGACACTCATCCAGGATGACTGAAACCAGCATTCCTTCTTTTTGTTTTTGCAGAAGAGGGAAAGAAAGCACCAAGCAACGTCCAGGTGACTCCTGCCACTGAGTCTGAGCCCAGCAAGGACACACAGAAGGCAGATGTGCCACAGGATGGACAGGTACCCAAATCAGGAGCACAGGCACGGAGTGCCCACCCAGGCTGACCTTCACATGTCCTTTCCTGCTTCCCTCTCCAGAGCTGTGGGGACAGGACCCAGCCCATGTCACTGCCATCTATAAATAGGCTCTGTGTGTAGTAATCTAAGATGCTGGCTGAAACACTTTGGCTTACAAACACAAATTGGGTCCAAATGATGACACCAAGTGACACTGGATAGTATTGACCCCTCAATGACTCCTCTGAGGGTACTCCAGGGTAAGGAGAGATAAGAGCACCCGCCTGTCCTGTGCTCACCAGCAGACTGTTGTGTTTTGCTCTCCAAATCCCTTGTGGGTGATTTAGCAGTTCCAATGAATAAAAGTTTTTTTCAAGGACATGAAATATCTGTTTCTAAAAGGTGGTTCTAGTAAATGGATGCCCATTAGTTAACAATACACAGGTGCTGGGTTGGGGTGTGCCTGGGTCCTGTCCCACAAGAGCTGTGGCTGCCCTCAGCAGGTTACAAATGTGAGCTCTGCTCAGGTGAGGCCACAGTGAGTAACTGCAGCTCCTTGTTCTGCTCCTTGGGTGAAAATATATTGGCTTTTTGATTTTTTTACTCTGTGTACAGCCCCCCCCGTCAAGCAGTGACACCTCAGACGACAGCAGCTCTGAGAGCCAGGAGGACAGTGACAGTGACAGCACAGAGAGTGATGAAAACGATGAGCCCTTGTCTCTGGAGTGGCCAGAATCAAGGACAAAACAAGCAATTTACCTCTTCCTCTTTCCCATTGTCTTTCCTCTCTGGAGCACTCTGCCTGATGTCAGAAACTCGGTAAGAATCCACCTTCCTTCTGCTCCTGGAGTCATGAACTGAGCTACAGATTTCCTCTGGGTCCATTTTCCCATGTCTGGAGTCTTTGCATAGCTGAAGGGCTGTAACTGCTGCAGGGAGTGGGACAGGAGCCCCAGCTGCAGTGTAAGGTCATTCCAGAGACTTAATTTAATAAACCACAAATTCTAGCAACTACAGGTCACCTAATCAAGCTGAAAAACAGCAAACAGAGACCAGGGTCCAAGTTAAAGCAATCAATTGCAGTGAAGTGTTTCAGGTGAACAGTTTTCAGTGGGGACTATTAACTTCCCTGAAACTTCTCTTTTTTCTTTTCAAACTTGATTTCAACAGGAATCAAAAAAATTCTTTGTCATCACATTTTTTGGATCCATCCTCTGGATTGCTGCATTCTCTTATCTCATGGTGTGGTGGGCTCACCAGGTGAGAGGTTTTGTTCTTTTTGTAAATCCCCATTTCAGAACAAGTAGATGGAGAGAGGGGACAGTGGTACTGTGGCATTTTATCTGATGAATTACAGCTGCAGTCATCCATCACAACAGTACAAACTTTGTTTTGTTAGAACCCAAAAGGGAATTTTTGATGTCCTTTTTTTTTTGATTTGACAAAGATTCATTCATTTCTGAGAGCTTCTAAGGGAGTCTGTGCATCAGTAAAAGGAAAAGCACCATCAAGATTTATCTTAATTCTGACTTTTCATTAATGAATGTTTCTGTGCAGAACATAATTATCCATTACCTAATTAAAATTCTAGGAAAATATAGGTTCTGATTCTGGAAGATGCTAAATGTTCTTCCCTCCCCCATCTTAATATTCATCTGGTATTCTGGGAAATAACATTTCCATCTTGTAGGAACAGCCCCCCAGTCTGTATTGAGTGATTTATTGCACATGCACAGTAGATCTGATCATGCCATAAATCCAAGGGCTGTCATCTCCAAAGGCCCTTAGATCTTGCACAGCTGATGTTAAATTTGCAAAGGTAGACAACATCCAGAAGAGGAGGACTGAGGACAGAAAAATTGACCTTGGCTCAGTGCTGGCATCAATGTGGTCGGATTTCCTACACTACAGAGCAAACCCAGAATCAACAGACACAGTAAAATGGAAATTATTAATCCTATAAAGCAGGAAAATGCTGCCACATTTATGGGGCTTGGAATATTTTAACTCAAGTATGGCACAAACCCTAACAGTGCACAGAGCAATGCACTCCATGTTCCACTGCTAAAGCCCTACCCAACATTGTGTTGATTAGGTTGGTGAGACAATTGGGATCTCAGAGGAGATTATGGGGTTAACCATACTGGCAGCAGGCACATCCATCCCTGACCTCATCACCAGTGTCATCGTGGCCCGCAAGGGCCTGGGGGACATGGCTGTGTCCAGCTCTGTGGGCAGCAACATCTTCGACATCACTGTTGGGTGAGTACCAGGGCCATGCCAAGAGCTGCATTTCTTCTGACACACAAAGTTACCTGGTTTGAAACCAAACACGCCTCAGGTAATTTCATTCTAGCTGTAGTTAACTGAAGGGCAGCTGAGCAACCAGTTCCTTTTGAAGAAACCCAACCCAAATCCAAACCCAGCCAGGAAAGACAAACTGTTATAACCCAGCCCACTATCTTCACCCAATTAACTAAATCACCACTCAACACAAAATTACCAGTTTTTCAAGACAAAAATGCAAGACATCTTTGGCTAATGTCCAAGCTATACAGGAGCCTTACCTGGTCACTCAGACATCCAGCTCCTGGGGAAGGTCACTATCAGTGCCTGCATCTCCCATCCTCAACCATCAGGACATTTCTTTATTATAGCTCACCAAGGCACTTAATTCTTAGGTATTATTTTCAAATCCTTTTACTCTTGGATTGCATTATGATAGTGCAAGCATTATCCAAATGTAGTTTTGACAGGAAAAACATGCAGTTTAGATTTATGCTGAGTTATATTGAATACAATAATGCATTTTTTCCCCCGTAACAGTTTGGAAAAAAATCGCTTAGTTATGATGCAGCTAATGAACTGCCTTAAAACATTTATTTCAATTACTTTTCCCTTCCTTGCAGCCTACCAGTTCCCTGGTTCCTTTTTTCTATCTTCAATGGCCTCAGCCCTGTGGCAGTCAGCAGCAATGGTTTGTTTTGTGCAATTGTTCTCCTTTTCCTCATGCTCCTGTTTGTGATTATCTCTATTGCTATCTGTAAATGGAAAATGAACAAATTACTGGGGCTCACCATGTTTGCTCTTTACTTTGTGTTTCTGATCATCAGTGTGATGTTAGAGGACAAGATAATATCCTGCCCAGTGTCTGTATGACATGTGGACACTTCAAGATGTCTGTGAGGATCCAGAAACATCAAAAGGGGGTTGAGGTAGCAGTTGTTCTACTGAAAAAAAGCAACCAGAATTGTAACAAACTTATTGAAAATAAGATTCCTTTAACATGCTAAAAAATAAATCATCTTAACTGGTGTGTCAGCCTCTACTGTTTTTCTTTAGGATCAGAACAGTATTAAATGACCAATATTAAATAACACACACTTAGGCACTTGTGGAAAGGCTGATGCAATTTAGATGCATCAAATTTTCACTATGGCTGATCCTCTCAAGGTAAAAGAGCTGATTTTCACCACATAATATTTACTCATGATAGGAAATTTTCAGGAACACGCTCTAAATTAGTCAGTGAATTGCTCAAACTCACTGAAATCAGTGAATTTTCCTTCAGTGGGAAGAGAATCAGACTGATGGGGCTGGGCCTTTATGGAACTGCTCTGCTTAAAATCCCTGTGTGGATTTTAAGCTCAGCAGAGAACTCCCTCAAACTGCACTGGGCTCCTTCCAGATCTGTACCTGATCTTGCAATGCAGTGCCTACAACTCCTGTAAAGTGCCACTGGTACAGCTGTGATGGCACCTGGGTTTTGCTGCAAAAAACCTAAAAGGCTCAGGGGTTAAAACAGCACATTATTCCTAATCAAAACTGAAGCCAGGAATCAAACACAACAAGGAGCTGAATGCTGGGGGTTTGTTTTCATCCTGACACTAATCTCTGACAGTTACAGGTTATTTACCCAGCACTAATTCCTTTTGTTAACACTGACTTCTGCACAGACAAGATGAAAGAATGCCACTGACATCACCAAACCTGAGGGGTTTATTGTTAACACCTCATGGGAGCACACACTGTGGTTAAGAGTTGCAGACATTTCTGTCACTCAAATCAATCTAATGAAATGTTAATGAAAATAACCAGAAAGATTTTAAGCTTTTTATTGACTCACTGTAAAATGTCTTTTTTTGGGATGAGACAGAAAAAAACCTTAACATTGTGAACATTGACTTTGCATATTTTAAAGGAACTACAAACCAAAGCAAACATCCAACATACTGGTTTTTGGTAAATAAAATTTAAACATTACATATTTACAAATCTACAACCATTCATTTAAAAAGTGCTGCTTGCAGACTAACAAAGTACCATTTTTAAATCCCAGTGAGATAATATCCAGAAATACCCCTCTCTATTATTACTATTTGCATCTCCCATTTGTTACACTAAGATTTTACATGCAGGAATTCTCTTTCTCGGGATACAAATCATTTAATTTGCCAGTAGAAGTCAAATTCATCAGGCTGTAACTGTACCAACAGCAAGACTTCTCAAATGGGACACAGCAGTGTCAGAGAAACAGCACAATTTCTATTCACATTTCAGTATTTCATCTCCAATAATTTTTCCAGTGAAACCATAAGTAAAGCAAAATATATATTGCACTGCAAATGTAAAACCTTTGTTTCAGGTTTTGGACATAAGCCTTATTTAGTACACAAAAGGAGAAAATTCAGTTCATACAAAATTTTAAATTGAAAATATGTCTCAAATATTTTATTTATTCATCTTTGTGGTATTGGAAAATATAGTCAAATTGCTTTTCTAGTAAAGGAAAGTGAGATTTGAAAACTGTTTCAACACTGAATTGTATGATGCTCTAAAAATTATCGACCTCAGGATATGTTTGGAACATTGTGACTCGAATGTGGAAAATTTCCCACTTATAGGATGTTGCTATTCTGACTCTGTTTTTATACATTTCTACAGTGGACTGACTTGCAACAGACTTTATAAAACAATTCATGAAGTATAATGATTTCCCTTGGTGAGCTACTACATGATAGCACAATTTAAAAGCACACCCAGATTAACACTGGCAGCGCCTCAGGAGAGCCGTGCCGGGGACGCAGGACCCAGGGATGGTGTGAGGGCTGCACAGCCAGCCCTGCTCCCAGGGAGCACCCACTCCCTGCCAGCGCTGGGGATGCTGCAAAGAACTCACACTGGGTGGGTTGGGAGTCTGAGGGCAGTTGGAGTCCTTGCAAGGAGGCTGGGACGAGGATGAGGAAGGGCCACGTGTGACAGTGCTGCCCTGTGCCACGGCCTGGGCATGGGGACCGCGCTCGGCTCTTCGGCCACCCCGAACGGGAGTGGGAAGCTGGGTCATAGCTCAGCCCCTCTAACACCCCACGGCAGCTCTGGAAAAAGCACTTGCTCTCTCTCCTTTCATGGCCTGAAGGTCCTATAGAACAGTGGCTGCCCCAGTGGCAAATGGGAAACAGAACTGCAGGGAGCTGGGAACGCGACCTTCCACAGCACACCCAGCTATGGGCTTAAGTACAGCAACTACTGGAGGCAAGATTTCCATGGTAATGCAGCATTCCTACTGTACAGAGCAGCCATGCACACTAAGGGGTACTTACAGGGAATGTGTTCAAAAATAGCCTGTTTATTTCACAGTAGTCCAGGGGAATGAAAAGGATATCTCTACCTTGTACCTGGGTGAAAAAAGGAGCTTCATTTCATGCACAAGGATACTGTACAAGCGTGGCAGTACAAAAAGAGCATCATAAATTGTTAAAATAAATTAAATATGAAAGATGTTGTAAGTGTAGCATTGCTAGCTCCACCTCAGGTGGGGGAAACGTTCAAGAAGGTCAGCTACGTAATTAGCAGCACGTTAGAGAAGAGGCATTACCTGATGGAAGCTCTATCCAAGACTACATCCTGCAATTATCATCAGCACATACCTGCAGCTCTACAGGTTTGAAATCCTTTTCTTAGGGCAGCTTCTTCTTACAACTTCACAGAGGTCTGGGAGGAGGTTACAGAGCTTCATAGCAGCATTACTTTTCATTTAAGCCATTAAGGCTTGCTCTATTTCACTAATAAAGTAAATCTAGCTTTAAAGTTTATCATCTTTCTGCCTAAGTATTGCTGGTTTATTATACTTGCACACTAAAGATGTTTTTAAAAACAACACCTACTGGTAGGCAGACTGCAATATAAAATCTAATGTAACAGTTGAATATTTGGAAGTATTATAACAGCAACAACTAAAATTAGAAGTTGAAAATAATTAAGATTACTTAAAATAAATCTGTTTGTTAAAGCATGATTTAAATTTGTTTAGGGTGTTTTATACAGTTCAATGTCTGTTTTCCCACCTCCATGCAAGACTTCTGATATTTTCCCTGTAGCCTACCTTCTGGTGAGGAGTTGCTACGTGACAGAGCACAGAACATTTTTTAAATGTCTAGAACAAGAAAACATGAGGCAAAAGCCATGACTCCACCACAAGGACTGATATAGCAGTTTTCTACAAAGGAAACAAAAAGTTGTTTTTCCTGTGAAATAGAGACAGAACATTCCAAGTATGTTTAACTAAGCTCAATACGCCCCAGTAAGTTACATTCCCTATAATTCCCTGTAGCAAGTTTGCTGGATGTACTTGAGTTAGCAGCTTTGGATGGGCATTATGTGGTGCTGTACTGAGTGCCTCAAACACAGCCTCAGACTCTGAGCGCTGCGTGCTCATGGAGAACTCACTGCAGGCTGGCACTTGCTCCAGCTCACATCTGGAATGAGCCACACCAACAAATGCCAACAGCTGAGATGGGCTGATTCCACAACAAAACCCATAGGACTCTTCAATGTGGTTTCCCTTTCCTAGGGAGTGGGGAGGGAAGGGAACACAAGAGGAAGAGGAGATTTCTACAGAAGTGTTTCACAGAGACATCAGTGTATTTGTTAGAGTTTTGCAAAATTTACTATACCTTCCTTCTGATTGCTGTGGTAACACATTTTCTGAGTGTGCATGAGAGAAATCCTGGATCTCCAGTACTGTCTAGGTGAAGGTTAACATTTTCTATTCTGCTTTAAAAACAAATCACTCTTCAAAAAGTAACTGGACAAGTTACTATAAATAGCAGTGTACTGCAAAAAAAATAAGCACTGTATTGCTTCTGCAGCAAGTCCATTTAAAATTCACTCCAGTAATTTAAAAAAATTAAAAAAATATCAACTTACTATAAACAATTTAAAATATGTATAATACAACTTTGTATGCTCTTCATAACATCATGAATATTCTATGTAAACAATAGATTCTGAAGAATTTCCTTCGCTCACATTAGTTTCAGTGCATTGTTTCTGTCCACCTGTTACTTAATCTTTTTTTTTAAAGGGAGCTGTAATATGTTGTCCCAAGTCAGAGAACTGATTTTGTTTATAACCTGCCTCTCCACACACCGATTTGCAGAAAGGACAAGGACAGGGAAATAATATTTGGCCCATTTTTCTCTCTGTCCACCTCCACAACCGCAGCCAGGCCAATTCCCCGAGGCCTCGTGCCGCAGTCCATCGCACATTCCTGAACACTGAAGACTGAGATGTTCCTTGTGACTGAAGTGGTTATTTTACACAGGGATACGTCACAGATATCACCTCTTTAGCCAGGTACATTTAAAGATATGGTTCTCCAAAAATCTTTCTGCATTCCATCACGCCAGTGCTGGGCGGTCTGTCGCAGTTGTGAGTGTTCTTCACCTGATTAGCGGTGAGACGGTCGTAGGCCATTTTGTACTCTCTGTCAAAAGCATCTGCAGCAAGGGAAAAACAACTTCAGACAGCAAGCTCAAAAACACCACCCAAATGCCACTACAGCTGCATTTATCAGCACAAAATATCTGTAAAGTCCTTTTTATTTGGCACTTATCACAGAGTGGCACACATCTAATCTACAGATTATTTTTTTCTGGAAGCTGTACAATTAAGTTTGCATAAATTCATCATCTGTGCTCATTTGAATAGCTGGCAGAACTCACCTATATCAATGTTATCTCTTCCCAGGGCAACAAGTGAAAGAAACAGTATTTCTCTGTAAAGGCTCCTGAAATGGTAAAAATCCCAATTTATATACTGCACTGATACAGCAAGCACAAAACAATCTCTATTAAAAACAGATGGAAGCATTTAAAGACAACTTATTTAAAAAACGGCATTTTGAACATCACTCCTGATTGTGCCTCCAAAATATTGTCATTTCTGAGCTCTGGGGAATGCCCTGGATTCCTCATGGACATCACCCAAGGTAGGTCCCCTGGAGGCTGCACCAAGTGCACACAGAGAGAAACACACACTTAAACACTCAACCAAATTCCACAAAATTTAACCTGGCAAGGAATTTGCTTTTCTGCATTTTCACATTAGCTCAAAAAAGCAGGCAGAGAAGCAAATAAACACCTTGTCAGTGCTCCAGCTGTTGACAAGCCTGTTGTATATCCTAGTATAAATCCGTAAATCCAGGCAAGAAATGAAAATTCACAGAAATTAATGTTCACCAATTCCACCACTAATGGAAAAATACCCCTGCCTAAATATGAAACATAACTTCTCTTAGCTGCTTTTCTGTACACCCTAGAAACAAGTGTCAGGTTTTTATTTTAAAACTCCTACTAATTTATAAATAACATTCAATAACAAAATATACACATATATACACGATCCCTAGTTCCTATTTTTCAGAGGTAAGAAAAAGAGGTGGCTGTAAAGGGGAGGGGGAGAAGAAAAAGCAAGAAGTAAAAAATGGGAAAACTAAGCTTGTGGAAGTTACCATAACAAAGAAATTTACCAGAATGATAAATGTTGAAAACACTGGTGAAAAACATTGGGGTTTTTTCTTTAAAAAAACACACTAGGAAAATATAACTCACATTAATAAGCTGATTATTGCCCAACTCTGCTCCAGCTAGGCATGTTGGTTTGTCTTACCTCTGTCTTTTAACATGTGGCCACTTGTTGAGCCTCTCCAGTATCTGACTCATT